TGCCATTGCTGTCCTAGGTCCTAGGAGATGTATCGGTAAACATATTGCTACAAGAGATGTCTGAGATTTTGCTGCCCGTGGATTCCTCTAATATTTTTATGGTTTCCCATCTTACGTTTAAGTCCTTTATCCATTTTGAGTTTATTTTTGTGTATGGTGTAAGTTGGTGGTCTAGTTTCAATTTTTTACATGTATCTGTCCAGTTTTCCCAACACCATTTATTGAAGAGACTGCCTTTACTCCATTGTATGCTCTTGCTTCCTTTGTCAAATATTAATTGAACATAATGGTTTGGGTCAATTTCTGGGTATTCTGTTCTGTTTAGTACCTCTCTTTTTATAAGGTGAAAGGAAAAGGCTCTCCAGGTCTCTGGAAAACCTCAAAAATAGCTTTAGGTGCCAAAGATATCCTGAAAATAATTTCCTTTTACATGTGGATTCAATCTTAGGATGGAAAAATAATAAAAAATTGTAAGGATATTTGAACACTTAAAACAGGACAGTTGGTGATGAGAAACTCGCTATTTACAGAAAGAAACAACACATTTAAAAATAAAAAGGTAACGTGATGATCAAGAACCATTGCTCTTTGGTAAGTGAGGAAGTTTTGTGTGTGTTTTTTAAATTAAGGATATAATAAAGTCAACATAAAGCACAGGAAATTATTGTGATAAAACATGGAATCTTTTTTATCTAGGCAGATTACACAGATTAACCCTTCATATTGCAGGCAAAGGAAATAAACAGCAAATCGTTGAGTGTCTTGTACTATTCTAGGCCCTGGAAATACAAAATGAATGTGACATATGCTAAACCTTCCAGGAATTAATAGTCTTAGTAAAGAAACAGATAAAATGGGTTGTGGGGCAGGATAGGCATTGTTGTTTGAATATCACATACCCTTTCTCCCAGTTATTTCTAAGTAACAAAACCTTATTTTGTTGGGAGGTAGCTATGTACCCAGATGAAAACAATAATTTCCCAGCCTTCCTTTCAGATAAGGGTGCCCGTGTGACTAAATATAGGACAATGCAACCAGAGAGAGACAAGTATCCCATGATCTCACTCATATGTGGAATCTCATTAACAAAATAAACTGATGAACAGAGTGGATCCAGAGACATGGAAGCATGGAACAGAGTGTGGAATCTTGAAGGGAAGGTGGTAGAGAGTGGGTGGGTGGGAGGTAATCAACCAAAGACCTTGTATGCATGTATGCATAACCCATGGATGCAGACAGTGAGGTGGTGAGGGCCTGGGGTGGGGGGTGGGGCGAGCTAGAGAGGGTTGATGGGGAAAAGGGGGACATCCTTTATAATAAAAGCCTAATGTGCAAATCGACAGAATGGTGAAACAATCGGTTACTATCACATGCACTGACCACCAGGGGGCAGATGCTCAACACAGGAGCTGCCCCCTGGTGGTCAGTGTGCTCCCACAGGGGGAGCGCCACTCAGCCAGAAGCCCTCTGCTGCAGGTGGGTGGTAAGGAGCAAGGGGTCCCAGACTGCCAGAGTCCCGAACTGCAAGAGGGTTGTCTGACTGCAGGCAGACGGATCCCCCTAGGGGTCCTGGACAGCGAGAGGGTGCAGGCTGGGCTGAGGGACACCCCCCCCAAGTGCATGAATCTCATGCACCAGGCCTCTAATATGTAATACTTTCAAACCTCAGAGGGAAGGTAGGGGAGGGTGGGGATAAGGGGGAGAGATCAACCAAAGCACTTGTATGCATGCATATAAACCCAACCAATGGACACAAACAACAGGGGGATGAGAGCATGAGTGGTGGTGGTGGAGGTTATGGGGGGATGAGGTCACATATGTAGTACCTTAATCAATAAAGAAATTAAAGATTAAAAGAAAAACAATAAAGATAAAGAAAGAAAGAAAGAAAGAAAGAAAGAAAGAA